TTTTCCTTCGGCCAGAATGGATTAATGGGTTTTCAGTGCATTCCTATCGGAGATGGTGCTTTGACTTACAAACATTTTGATTTACGAATGCCATTCCAATACGGATTAAGTTCGTAACTCAAGGCACCACTGTACTAATCTTGGAATCTAGAAGTCTGTTTTTCAGCTTTAGCACTGAATCAAAATACAGTGGTGCCCCACATGACGATAATCCATCCCGGGAAAATCGGTTTAGCGAAATCGTCGTAATGCGAAAACCCTTTCCCCATTGGAATGCATTGAAACCCGGTTTAATGTGTTCCAATGGGGAAAATACCTCATCATCCAGCAAAGATCACCCATAGGGAAGCCATTTTGCGAGCGCCGATCAGCTATAAAAATGACTGCCCTGCGAAGCATGGGTCTGGAAAAGGCAGGGCAGCCATTTTGCGGAGCCAAAAAAAATCGTTGTCTTGTGAACAAACAGTTTGTGAAGCACAGACCTAGTCAACGTCCAGCAAAAATCCCCCATTGGAATGACTGTAGTGCGAATCACTATAGCGATCACAAAAAGTCACTGTCATGCGGATTTGTCATTTAGCAGGGTCATCGTTTAGCGAGGTAACGCTGTAAGCCTTGGATTTTAAAAATAAATAAAGACAGTTCCTTCAAATTACTTGGGGGAGTGGAGAACAAGAAAAGGAAATACTAAACCATACAGCGTATACTTAATTTCCCTAAATATTCAGAGGATGAATGTATATTCCATCATACTGAAAAATAGGTATACAGTAGTGCTTCGCATCAACATTAATTCGTTCCAGCAAAATTGCTGTAGAATGAAAACGTGATGCAATTTTTAAAAGCCCAGGGAAACGCATTAAAACCAGATTAATGCGTTCTTAGGGGCTTCAAACTCACTGTCCAGCAAAGATCCTCCATAGCACGGCCATTTTCGCTGCCTGTGCAGCAAGGAATCTGTGCGAAAACACAGCAGGCAGCCATTTTGTTTACCCAGTGGCCATTTTGAAACTGCCGATCAGCTGTTAAAAAATCATCACTTTGCAATGATCGGTTTCCGAAGCAGGGAACCGATCATCGCAAAGCAAAATTCCCCCATAGGGAACATCATTTTGCGATCGCAAAAAGTTCGTGATGCGATTTCATCATCAAACGGAGCGCCCGTCTTGTGGGGCACCACTGTATAGATAAAGGACAGACATCAAATTGTTTACCTAATAGGTGTGCCATAGGGATAGTCAGTGCTGACATTCCTCTAACACCTATCCAAACTTCATATGCTCAGGGATACCTTGTACTCAAAAATAGACAAGCATATTCTCTCTGTTCTAAGCATCTCAGATAAAGGATGTGAAAATAACGCAAAGCTCTCACAAAGTAGGAAGTATTTCTAAAGCTTACTGGCTCTGAATTATTTTCTGACTTTGAGCTGTGAGCATTAAAAGGTACCAAGGGATTGTTGGTAAGGAAAGTGCTTATGTATTTTCAAAGCACCCTACCCATATGTAGTCAAAAGGAGAAAGACAGAGAAATCAAACAGTACCAGGAGGAAAATAATCTCTAAAAGGGTAGAATGGAACCTTGATTGTAAGATGGAAAATATATACTGTATTAGGAAGGAGCATGTCAAGTAGGGTGGTAAGTCAGAGCAGTGATGCCAACCACATTAGCTCTCATACGTTCAGTCTTAGAAAGCTCATTCCCAACATCTGCTCTAAAGGTGCCAGGAAATTGTTGTTGGCAAAGGGCCCTACTGAGTTTATATATTAGAGTAAATAATCTCAAATAGAGGGGGACACAGTAACATCACCCCTTCCTACACAAGGGAAAAGTCTGATTAAAGATTCTGCTCTTCCAGGGTTCCAACTGATGTGCAGAGCTCTCAAAACTCACCCTCTACATGGAGAAAGACAACAACGCTGCAGGAGGAAATGGGGCTAAAGCAGGGGTGGGCAATTAATTTCTATGGGGGTGCCACATGAAAAATCTGAACTGCGGTCGGGGGCTGAACCAACTTTACTTAAAAATAAAATGAAACCATGATGTTATGATTGTTTTTATTTTAAACTTGTTAATCTTCACAAATACTAAAGAGGTTTTTTGCAGTATGTTAAAGATAAGCAACTGATCAACTTTAGACAAAAAGCTATAAATGGTTTTGATGTTCAAAATGTCTGCGGGCCGGACAGGAGCGGCTTGCGGGTTGTATGTGGCCCTCGGGCTGCACTTTTCCTAGGTCCGGGCTAAAGGATTCCCATCTACTTATGATTAGCAGATCATGTTGAAAGAGGGGTAAGATTTCAAATATACTGCCTTCCCACCCACCCCGTCCTTGTTTACTTAAGACTTGTAGGGTCTAGGAAGAAAAGGGATGCAGGTGTGATTTATGTCTGAAGGTCAAATATATAAAACTGCAAAATGTTAACAGTGCCTTCCGCGTCAAAGCTATAATGAAATACTAACATGACTTGAATCCTTAATAATGCATTTCATATTGTAGAAAGGTATCTTATGCCACGTTAGGCTACTGTGCCCAAAGGACAACTTATCCAGTATTTGGTTTTTCCAACTTTACCATGAAACTAAATTACCTTTTAACTAGTTCCAAAGAAGAGGCAGCTTTCTATCTGAAGTAGTAACAATACTCTAAGCTTGTGAACTCTGCTGCTGCCTTTAAAAAATATCCCCAGTGGGAAGTTGCACAGCTTTCCCTATGAGACAAAGAAAGAGTCTTCTAATCCAGACAGATTCACTTTCCTTTGCTTCAATCCTCTGAACCAGGAGTAGGCAAAGTGCATCCTACAGTGGGGTCTTGACTTAAGAATGGCTTGAGTTAAGAACATTTTGACTTAAGAACCGCTCTCATAGGAAAATATTGACTTAAGTACTTAGATTTAAGAACTGAAAAAAAACCATGTGGGAGGCAGGGAAAGTGCAAAATTAGAACTTTCAGTTAACTGTTGGCCAGTGAAAAGGGGGCCTGTCTGCTTCCTCACTCCTCCCAGCGCTTAGAGAGTGGATTGGGAGACAGTCTTCGGACTGCCTGGTACTGTCCTGCCTGGACTGTATTTTCCCTGCCTTCCCTGAACCTTTCTTGACCTAAGAAAAAAAAGAAACAAAATATCCCCCTCTAGTGGTCGAAGGCAGAATAGCAGCTTCCCATTAGTTTCTATGGACGGAAAAGAGCAGATACGGATCAAATGGTTCTCAAATGCATATTTGACTTGAGAACATTTTGACTTGAGAACCACCTTCCAATACGGATTAAGTTCTCAAGTCAAGACCCCACTGTATAGGCTGCAGGCAGCCTTGCAGGGGCATTATGGAGGGATTCCGGGGGAGGGAGGGGAAACTTTTAAAAAGTGAAACAGGAAGAACAACAACAACAACTCTGCTTCTTGCACAGACATACTAAAAAAAACAAACCCTGAAAAGGACTCATTTTCAAGGAGAGTGCACTTACAGAATGGCAGTTCTTGAAACAGCTGGACATTTGGGAACAGAACATGAACCTGAGAACCCTGGCATTGCTCATTTATTTGATGTTTATCCTGCCCTTCCTCCCTAGCAGTAAAACAAAAAAGACACACACTTAAGGGCCATAACAGTTTATTGGATGTCTAGGGATTTCTCAAGTCGATTCTAGTTCAAACAAACCAAATAAATAAATAAAAGGGAGCAGGAAGACAATTTAAGAACTAAAATATACAGGAGACTGACATGTTATGAGCAGAGAGAGTTAGCTTGGGCCAGTTTTTCAAAGACAAAAAGCTAACTTCAGAATCTTGGTCTCATTCCACTCTCAGAAAAGCACCAGGTAGCAGAATTAAGGATACTTTTGAATGTCTTATGTTTCCTGATAATACCAGGTCTATATGGAAGAGACAGGATATGGGAAACCTGTAAAACCCTGCATTTTCAGTGGGTTCAGGACTATTACAGAGACAGTGGAACAACAGATACCTGCCATATGAAAGAAGTGGTGTGGTAAAACTTCTATTCAACATGGATCATGAAAAGCTTTTCCTCTAGAAGCTGAAATACCACCATCCATCCACCCAAATAAATACTCCAAACAGTTTCAGTGCAGTGACCAGCAACTGCAATGTTACACAGGATGGGAACAAGCAGTTCCCAACAGCTAAGATGCTTCAGGCAGCAGCCTTAGGCTCAGTCATTTTGCTTCTCTTGAACAAAGGCATTTGGTTTCTGTGCAAAGGTCTCAGCAACTAGTAGTGGGAAGACCAGGGAAGCATCAGCATAAACCTGTCAGGAAAAGAAAAGAAGAAACTTAAAAGTGCTTCTATATAAGAATGTCCTATCTGTTTTGTTCATATCCCAGCAAATCAGGGAACCCTAAATTCCATAGATGTCTATCTCTTGCACCTTACCACTAAACCATGATCGTTCTATCAGTCCTTTGTCAAGTATTCACCTTGACAGGCTTGGCATCCATGCGTATCTTTCCCCAGGACACTGCTTCATCAGGCCGAGCTCCCGAGTCTGAGCCATCAAACTCCTGGGCTGTATTGACGTATACGGAAAAGTCAGCACCATTTCTCTGGGGAGTCAGGAGGATTGGTGATGTCAAACATAATGAAATCAGGACTGGCTTAGTGATAACAGAAGGTCTGCTCAACAAAGGCAGATCTGATATGACATGCAATCATTCCCAAGTATATATTCAGAAGACAAATGTACATGACCATTATACCAACCTGATCAAGTGATCCATTTAAGCACAGTATTATCTACTCTGACAGCTCTCCAAGGTTTCCTGCCAAGAGCTTTCCTACAACTAATAATCAATATCTTTTTAACAGAAGATGACAGGGGATTAACCTGGGATTTCTCCTATGCAACACATATAACTGAACTGTACAAGCTTTTCATTAAGGGTCAGAATCTGCAAGAGCTCAAACAGGAAGTCTCCTGATTTGTCTATTGATGTCCCTTTGGTTGAATAAACCTAGACTAAATATACAGCTACCCTAGAAATCATATTAGGGCTTCTAAACCAAGATAAAACTTCAGGCTGTTTTGCTCCTTGAATTATACCCTTATCTATTACTATGCCACTAGATAGATCAATAAACAAAGAGAAAACTCACTTATTATCTCTACACACACTTTTCTTCTACAAATTTGTACTTCATTCAAGACTAATCAGACATCTTCCCAGACATCTTTCCTGCCTTTTAATATATGAAAGCAGTTTATTACACAGCAATCTGCCTCACCATCAGGTTGGCGTTGGCAATATGATGTTTGACTAGACCTCCACCCAAGATTATCATTCCTGTCTTTCGGGCAAAGATAGCTTGGGTATTGATGAGTCTCAGATCTATAAGAAAGATGGAAATATATATTAGGAAGGACATGTCAAATAGGGTGGTACATGGAACCAGTGAGGCCATATTTGGCTCCCAGTATCTGATAAAGGGATCTAATCTGTGGTTCCAATCAACTGGCACACTATGCTTCAAAAAAATCCCCAACCATTGACTCCACATTGCACTAAGCTTTAGAAGTTAAAATCTAATTAGATCCCTCCTCTATCTGAAAGCATCAATGACAAGTGGATAAGTAGCATCATGGAGAGGATGGCTTAAATCGAAGAAATCTTGACTTGCCTTCTACAATATCCAGCACAAGCCCTGGCTTCTTGTAGGAGTGGAAGAAAATCATATCTCCCAGAGAGCCATCGGTCAACGCTGGACTCAGCACAGGAATGCTGTTCTGTTAGATGACATAAGTTGCATGATTAATAGAAACTGAACATTTCATTAGATATAAACAAGAAAGCAGAATTCTTGCATGTGAATTTGAATAATGAAAGTGATTGCTCAGCCAGTGCATAAAGACCTGTCTGTGATATTACACATATAACACAGACTCTCAGATGATCCCAGAGTGTAAAGCACCCCATTATGAGTGCCAAAAGAGGCATTTTACCCAGGAAACAGAGAACATGTCTTGCCACAAAGTGAGAGACAGAACTAAATGCACAAAACTTCTTCAGCCTACCTTTTGTGCCCAGTAATAGACTGATTCTGGATTATTGATTTCCTTGCCAAGCCGAGCAATGAGCTTTGATGGAGTCCACTTCACACCCTGAAAGACAGGGAAGCCAACAACATGGTTAGGGATATGCTGCCCTCTCCTTGAGACATGTGGAAAAACTAAGTATCAGGGCAGAACTTAACATTTCAAAGAAAGAAGTAACTGTTTCAAGGGGAAGGGAAGAAACCCAATGAAGCAATGTGAGTAAAGAAATGGCTAGCAAACTAGATTACAAAAACTGGTCCTTATGCTGCTTCACCCTCTATGTTGCACCTTTTCCCACTCCTAAAAAAGAAAACAAGCCCCCAAACTCGCAGTTGTCATAATCCAGTCTTAACATCCCAAATCTCACCTCTGTGTCCTGCTCTGTCACCATCTGGTCCAGGATTGGCATCAGCCAGTCCTCAAACTTGCAGTAATTGTCATTGGGCACCAGCAGATTCCCAATCCTGAAGGAGAGAACATACCTAGAGTGTAAAGCCTTGTTAGGGAATCTGCCTCAGCTTGCTCCCTCCTCCCCAAATAGTGAAGCATGGGGGAACTCGATTCTCTCATGTAAATCATATAAATAGGAGAAATCCTGGAATTATCCATCTCTCAAATCACTTTCCAAAGAAACATCGTCCTTCTCTCCAGACTCTTAATATTAAACAGTGGTCAGACCATCAGCTTGCTGCACTAACAGTACCTGTTAATCCCATTCTGCCGTAGTTCTTTGCCACGGAGGCTAAAGTCTCCAATATAGGTGGGTGCCAAGCATTTGATTAGATCTTCCTCCACACCACCTGCTGTAGTCACTAACACATCCACCTACAGAAATCAAAGAATGTATAGGGCATAGAGTTCAAAAACTTGCAGCCATGAGCATCCTTTAAAATGTGAGTCATGCAAAGTGATAAGGAAAGAAAAGAAAAGAAAGAAAGAAGGGGTTTTTCTTGAATGCTCATTAGATCAGATACAATGCTCACCAAAACAAGCATGCCAGAGAAATAAGCATCAATGGATTAATGGAGTACAGCATGAGGGAAAGAGTATCATAATGCACTCCATTCATAAAACTCAAGGATTATTTTTCTTTCAACGTCAAAGGTGAGACTATCTTCCAGAGTTGGGCAATACCATATTGTGTTGCACCAGGTAGCGGATAGTCTCACGGACACCTGAACTGATGAGATTGGAGGTGAAGCCCAAAAAGACTGTGCAGCCCGTTAGGCGGCGGGAACAAGGATTTAGGTCAGCATGGTTTCCTTCATCTTCACCCAGAGGAGTCAGTTTTGCTTCTATCTGCAGGGGAGAACACAAGTATTTGAGTAGAACTTCAACACAGGTGCAGAACACAGCAACTAGAGGCTAAAAAAAGACAATACAGTATTAAAAATCTGACTGATTATCTAAATACAGAGAACAAAACATTTGCACAACTGAAGCACTGAAGAGGAGCGAAAGGGGAACAGTTTAATTCTTTAGGCCACTTACTATTACTGTAGAGCAGGCATAGGCAACTTTGGCCAGTCCCTAGCTGCCCCCCCCCAGCAGCCTACCAAATATGAAATAAAGTCCAAGTGAAACTGGCCAGAAGTCAACATTTGCCTTTAAAAAAAACCACAACAACCCAAAACCAAAAATCTGGGAGTCTGTGTGTTAAACAGTGAAGGAACCCATGGCACTGATTTAAAAGCTGTATCACTATTTCTACAGGCTTTCAGTAGCTGCAGTTCACTTTGGTAGTTCAGCTCCCCAAACAACAATGGAAAAGGGAACACATGACCTGAAGGCCAGACTTTGCTCACCTCAGTTGGAAAGACAAACAAATACAACAATATCAGATAAATCTGAACACCCCAACCACAAAAAACAAAAACAAACCAAAGCAAAAAACCCAACATCCACACATACGTAAAACACTCTTTTTGCAACTTCTGCTACTGATTATGGAACTAGTCCTTTAAAAAGCATCAGTTCAAGTATTCACATCTAATGAAATGTTAAAACTATCACATCTGTACAAAATACTGCCCACATGAAAAGCTTAAAAGCTGTGAAGCTGTTGCCGCACAGTAGTTGCTAAACTGTCAGTGCAGTATGTGTAACATTATTGACTTCTCTTTCTCTCTCTGCACATCTGGGATATGTGAACTGGGTCAAAACCTAAATGCACAAGTGTGTAGACAGCAGCACAAATGTGTAAGTGAAATATGCTGTAGCATACAATTGAACATGTATTCCAAACCTTACAGATACCTCAAATGATGCAGTTATAAATGTCACAGCGCAGTGATAAAACCTGATCCCCATCATCTTTCCGTGCATTGGGAACAACCCTGACTACTTACCATGCGATTGATTTCGTTCACAGCCTGCCCAAAGCTGGTTGCCTGGAAACCTGTGGTGAAGTAAGACTGGAGCAAGGCATGATAGTCCAATCCACAATCAAAGTCATAGCCACGTACAGTTTGACTCCCTTCAGGTAGTCCTTCACTGGGTTTCAATACAGCAGCCACTGCCCCTGCAGGCAGACCACCTGCCACATTTTCCATGAGGTGGACAATGAACTGGCTGACAGCCTAAAGAGTGGGGGGAAAGGCAAAGGGGCTTCTCAGCACCTATCCAAAACTTGCTGTCACGTGGATGATAATGCACAGTCACAACTATCCAGAGTATGTACTGTTTTTAATAAGCATACAAAACAACTCTACCAAATAAGGCGACAGCAATTTAAAACATCTCCCAACTGCTGCTGCCCTGGAAAGGGTTAATCCTCCCACAAACAATGCCATAGAATTTCCTCTTGCTGTTCCTCAAAGTGATCCTTTTGAGTAAAAAGCAATAATTTTGCTAAACATTTCCAAATATAAATGCATAGCCTCTGTTAACTAAAGAAAAGCAAGAACAACCATCACTGTAATCCAACATTAACCAATTCAAGGGTCTAAGCATTAAATGAAGTAGCAATGTGTTATACAGTGGTGCCCCGCATAGCGAGGTTAATCCGTTGCGGATTACCCCTCGCTATGCGGAATCGTCGCTAAACGGGCAGGGAAAACGTATTGAAACGCATTAAACTTAGTTTAATGCGTTCCAATACCTTGCTTACTTACCCGTTCAGCAAGGATTCCCCTTGCCGGCAGCCATTTTCGCGCCCTTGCTAAGCGAGGGCAGGGCGTGAAAACGGCTGCCGACAGCCATTTCCGGGCTTCCGGTGGCCATTTTGGCTCCAAATTCTATGGCTCCAAAATGGCCGCCGCAATACCCGATCTTCGCAATGTGGGTTTTCCCCATTGCGAAGATCGGGTATGTTTCCGTATAGCGATCCCGAAAAAGGGATCACTATACGGAAACATCGCTATACGGTGCACTCGCTAAGCGAGGCACCACTGTATATAGAAAAGTTTCCAAAGTAGGAAAAAAATGGATCCAGAAAGCAACTCCAATAAAACTTACTTCATGACAACCACCATGTCTTTTCAAGCATGTAATAAGAACATATGTAAAGAAATCAACACATTCTGCTAAATGAAATAGGAATAAGATGTTTTATACCAGGACATACTACACTTCTTCAGATGACTGGTGAGAGATGAAACAATGGACCCCATGGCAGCAAAGACTATCAGATTGTAACATTTTATCTTCAGGATACAATTTGAATCCATCCTTATTATTACTGGAGTAGAAATACAGCCAACTTAGAACATAGTAATTTTTTTTAAAAGTTTCCATACAGTGCTCTCGCCCCTATAAATAGGTGGAGGGATACAAATGACTATAGTAGTTGATTTGGAATGTCATGAAAAGGCAAAAAATATTTCTCTACTCTGTATGACTGCATTTTACTAGCATTTTTCCACATTAAGTTAACAGTTTGGCACCCAACCAACTCAGATTGTATAAAAAGAAGCCATCCTGAAACTCCCCCCCTTCCCATTCCCCAGAGATCTATGAATCCTGCCATAGCGTAGGCATCTGGCTGTGGAACCAGAAGTTTGGAGCTTGCCTGCTTGACAGGCACTGGACTTGATCCATAGGGTTCCTTCTAGCTCTGCAGTTCGAAGTTCTAAGTCTTTAACATCACAGCATACAAAAGCACTATTTCCAACACACACAAAGAAGAAAAACAAGAGAACTCTTCCATATGTTAGGGATGCTGCTCAGTAGGGGATCTTCTTATTTAATTAGGATAGAGTGAAGATAGAAGCAATGAACTGAAGAAAAAAGATATAAGGAGAACACATTCCCCTTTGAAGAAAGGGGATGAAAATCAGGATTTTAAAAAGAGAAGTGAAAGTCACTCTCTAAACACTAGGAAGAAAAAAAAATCCCCAGGAGTAGGTATGAATAGTTTTATCTGGATGCCATCTACAGACTGAACATATCAAAATCCTAACAAGACTATGTCAATGAAGAGATACCGTCTATGGAGGAACTGATAGAAAAGATAATGGAAGTGGCAGAGATGGATGTACTAATGGAAGCACTAAAAGAAAGATCACCTCAAAAAGGACTTTAAAAATGGGAACAATTTTATAACTGGATCCAGAATATGGTCTGAAAATGGGAACACTTTTATAACTGGATCTGAAATATGGACTGGAAAGTATAGATAAAAGAAGTATGAGAAGATCCAGAGGAATGGGGAGAGCTGTAAAGAAAAATAGTCTGAAAAAATTGTTAGATAGTTTATCCATGTAATTTCCTTTTTAATACAATTAAATAGGTGGATGTACTCTTTTGCTCTCTGGACTTATACCATTCTCCTACCGCATCCATTCCCTCCTCATGCCCTTGTACCCATACCCAAATCTTACCCTTATTTAAAACAAATTTTTTAAAAAAGCTGGGTCAGATACAGACGAAGGAAAAATTAAAATTGGTGGAAGATTTATATATACATTTTAGATATTCAGATCACAACATAATGCTGGCAGAAAGCAATGAGTCCTGCTGAAGGTGAAAACACACACACACACACACAACCAGGATCATAACTGAATATTAGAAATAGAAAAATCATGTCCACAGAAAAATTATACACTTTTAACATTGACTATGAAAAAAAATTAAATTGTCAAAAGTTTTCTATACTTTACTTCAATCAACACTCCAAATTGAGACTACAGCCAAGAAATGAGAAGAACTGAGACTTGAAAGGGTAGACATGAAAGAACTAGGAAAAAATGTATAGATGTGTCACTGGAGACCAAGATCATTCATACTATTGTACAGTATTTCTAATTACTATGCACATATGTGAAAGCTGGACAGTAAAGAAAACTAACAAGAAAAAAACATGTGAAATGTGGTATTGAATACCATGTGCTGTCAGAAAGTTAGTAATAGATTACCGGTAAAGCAACTCTGAATTCTCTGGAAATAAAAGACTAAACTGAGGCTATTATACTTTAGGCACATAATGAGACAATACTCAATGGGAAAGACAATAATGCTAAGGAAGGTTGAAAGGCGCAGGGAAGGAAGTTGTTTGAACATGAGAAGAATTGACTCAGTAAAGGAATCTAGTCTTACATTTGCATGAGCTGAGCAGGGCTGTTACCAACATCTTTTGAATAGGGTTGCATTAATCACGGAATGTTGATGGCATGTAGAAATACTTCCATTCCCATTAACTGAATAGTGGATGTAGAAATGACTGAAATCCTGTTGCATGTGTGTTCTGCACTGTCTGACTTATTGTGACCCTAAAAGGGCTTTCAATGTAAGTGAGATCTTTAAGGAGTGGTTTTACCAGTCCCACTCTTCCTTGAATTTCCATGGCCGAGTTCTCTATTCTCCACAGTCCTAGTCTGTCACTGTCCACTACACCACACTGGGAATCTGTCAGTCCCACTAGAGTAGACCAGTTCAATCAGCCAGCCACTCAGGGAAATCTTGCCTGAAAGGAAAGGTCTTTGGTCTGCTTGCAGAAGGTCAGTCAGTTGCAACCAGAGTAGATCCATTTAAATCAGTAGAACTTACCAAAGGACAGCCAGCTGTAACTGGAGTAGGTAAGTTCCACTGATTTAAATGGATCTACTCTGGTTGCAATTACCTTTCCTTCCACAAGCAGACCAAAGACCTTTCTTTTCAGGCTAGTTTTCCCTGAGTGACTGGCTGCCTGAGTGGGATTTTTAAATGGATTGTTGTTCCTTACTGATTTGAAAGTGTTTTCGATGTTGGCTTTGGTATTTGTTTACTGCACAATTTGTCTGATCCTTTTCGGTATTTTTATATTTACTGTTTTTAGCTTTAAATACTGTATTTTAATGATGTAAGCTGCCTCGAGTCCTAATAATAATATAATAACAACTAGGTGCCATTAAGTAAATGTGAATTTATGGCAACCCTTACTGGGGTTTCTGGAGAAAGGCAGGGTAAAAAAATATTCTAAATGAATAAAGAAAGAAATAAGCTAAGGCAGCCCTTGAGGCACCAAGAAAAGCTAGCATCCCATCTTTCAACTCTTGCAGCCGGTCTAGCTCACAACCATCTGCTCTTCCTGAGGATAAATATACATCCCTTCGTTTAAAAAAAAAAACCCTGTGAAATCGATGACAGCCTGGTTGTGTAGACTTATACAGACACTTCTGCCCCCTCACCTGCTGCCGGATGTGTCCCAGTCGCGAAGACTACCACCGCCTTCTGCATCCCGCCCAGGCCAGAGCCAAAGAGGGGAAGAAAATAAAAAGTAGTTATTACCACGTGGTGGGCATGAGCAACAACCCCACAGCCAAGGGAACGCGCGCCCTTTCGGCTTGCCTCCCTCCTTCCCGGGTGACAACCTTTGCACAGGACGGGACGAGGGCACCACTGGAATCCAGGTGTGGGTGTGTAGGGGGGGAGAAAAGGCGGCACACGATGCAGCGAAACGCCCCCTCCCCCCCCCGCTCGCTCCGACAACGGACCCGGTGAGGGTTGGGCGGTTCGGTCTTTACCTCGGGGTGGGGGGGGTTGAAGATGGCCAGCCAATGATATCGCGTCTCCTTCACCCGCCCTTGAGGGGGCGTTGCTGCTCCCAAGGGAGAGAAAGCTCGGGGGGGGGCGAGAAGCCTCAGTCGGCTGGCAAGGGAAGGCGGGCACGGTCTCTGCCTCCTCACAAGAGAGAAGGCGCCGTCCGAGCCACTCTTCTCCAGGCTCGAAAGCAAGGAAACAAGCTTGGGCAAGGGGCGGAATCCGCTAAACCTCGCGGGCACTTTCAGGGCAGGAAGCGAGCTTCAAAAGTTTGGGCGGAAGTCGAGAGGACCAGGCTTTTCCGTTTCCTGGCAAGGGGGCGGGGACATCTTGGCGCCGGTGACGGGGGAGGGGGTGCGGCTAGGCGGGCGGTTGCAGGGGCTGCGCGTGTGTTCCTGCGTGCGTCGGTCGGTCGGTCTGCGGAGTGGCTGTCAAGGGGGACCCGAGCCCGCGAAGGAGAGGGGCGGCATCGATGAAATGCAAAGCGCTGATGCGCGTAGTTTCGACATTTTCCCGTGTCTGTTGCTGTCCCTTGGAGTGGGTGGCCGGGAATGAACACTCTCTGTAGTGAACCTTGGTTGCTCATCTTAGAGGGCGAAATCTTTTCCAGTCGATCGACCGATCGGAAGGGTGGTGATGGTGGTTTTGGTTCCTCTCCTAGGTGTTTCATGGTGGAACCTCCAACGTACAGTGACCGTAAAAGGGATTTTTAAGGAGAATGAGATAATGGTGGTTCTGGGTTTTTCGGGCTCTTTCAACGTACAGTGACCGTAAAGGGGATTTTTAAGGAGAATGAGATAATGGTTCTGGGTTTTTCGGGCTCTTAGGCCGTGTTCTGAAGGTTGTTCTTCCTAACGTTTCGCCAGTCTCTGTGGCCGGCATTTTGATATTTTAGGAGTGGTTTTAGCATTTCCCCCCCCCCTCCATACACACCCGAGTTGCCATGGCCAAGCAGGCCTCTGAACCCGGGTCTCCCAAGTCTTAGTCTTGTCACTGGCCACGCTGAAAAATTAATTCTAGTATTGGATCAAGAACAAAGCCCTGGACTAGAAATTTGTAGACTTGAGTTCAGATTGTCGATCAGGGCTGTAAAAATATATAATGTAACTGATGAGTTTCTGCACACCAGTTTCAAGCGTAACAATTTAAAAAAAAATTGGAGTTAAAATTGTTATTCTGCCATGTGTGCTAGCAGTTGATAGTAAATAAAATGATCACTTAGTTTTTGTTTAAAAAACATTAAATAACCTTTACTGTTTAAAACACATGCAGTGTACATTAAACTCATGGTGTTTAGACATTTGGTACTTGCTACATAAATTGTGTACAGTACTTATGTTTGTATATTGTTAAGACTTGTTAGACATAGTTACTGTACTCTGTAACATCTTACACTACTACATATTTGATCCTATCTGACAGAATTGCATCCTACTACATATTTGTCCTCTCTGGCCCTTCCCATGCAAATGGATGTATATATACTTACACATGCTGTGTTGTACAATTACATATTCCAGTATAGATCTCTGCTTGGCCATAGGAACTTATGGTAGGTGGTGGCACTGGTAACACCATCTCTTAAATATCTTACATATGTTTAAAACCCTGTTGGGGTCACTGTAAGTTGGGGTGACTTGATGGTACATAACATTTATTTTACCATGTCCTTCCTGGAAGCAGCTCAAGTGGTTGGTTCAAGTGGTTGTTTATGACCCATATCACTTGGTTGCAGACTTCTGGAAGGACCACATTTTCCCAGATGAGCCTCTCAAAGTTTGAAGATCTTGGAAAAGGCCCTTGTCTTGGCCTCACCACTTTTACAGATGTATTTGGTGAAGACATGAGATCTTTTATTTTCTGTAAATGGTTTCTAATGTATGCTGTATTTTATCTGTTACTGTACTTTTTTCTGAATTTCTTTAATCAATTGTTTTAAAATTGTTTTAATTTATTGGTGGTTTAAATATCAATATATTTACTTGTATGTTAATGTATCTTTCTGAGTTTATAACTATGTGTTTTATAATTTCGTTTGCTCTTTGCTTCCCATACTGAGAGAAAGTTACATATAAATAAATACTCTATGTGCTCACATACTTCTGGACTATTTTTTTCATTTTTCTAGCAATTGTTCTTGTTATATGCCATCAACTGAGAACTGACTTACAGTGACCTTACTAGACCTTTCAAGGTAAGTGAGATACAGTATTTAAGAGTTAGTTTTACAAGTTCCACATCACCTTTGAATTTCCATGGCTGAGCAGGAATCTAAACCCTTTTCTTCAGAGTCCCAATCCATCACTGGTAAGGTTAGAGTGGCTGAAAATCATGCCTTGAGTATGACATTCTCTCAGTGACAACAGGAGGTTGTTAATGTGACAGTTTTACTCTCCCTGTGATAAGGAATGTTATTCTGTATCGATGGTAGTATGGCCCCGCTCCAAGCGCGTTTACCGGCAGCTGCAATCTCAGACAGCAGAGGCTTCCAGCTTTGACTCCGGTGGCTTTATGGGGCCGGGAGGGGGTCCACCTATTGATGGGGACGGCGCAATGCAGTCACGCAGCCCCCCTGTTCCTTCCCCTCCCACTCCTTCCTTCCTTCCCTCTCTCCCCCTCTACTGTTGTGACATGCCCCGGCCACATTCCGGCCGCAAGTGCCGGCAGTGTAACTTGAAACTTTGGAATTTATTTAAAAATAAAAAATTGCACTGGGCCGCATTACGAGCTGACCTGGGCCACATGCGGCCCTCGGGGCGCAGGTTGGAGAAGCCTGGTTTAAAGGGTTCTTTTAAATCACTTATCTCAGACTTGGTTGCCTATTTACATTGTGACAAATTAAAATTGAAATTGTGGTTTATTTTCAAACTCATAATGGGGAATGAAATTTGGTGATTACTATGTTGCATACCAAATACTTTTCTTTTTTTAAACAGAGTTTTACTGATACTGTGTATCAGTATAAACTTCACATGGGGCTTTAACACCTATTGCCTCACTAAAAAGCCAACCCATTCTAGACAAGTTACCTGCTTTTATCTGCACTATCAAAAGCACTGCTAGGCTCCTCAAGGAGCTTTTCCTCTGGCTAAGGAAAACAGATATTTAGCTTTCTGAAGCGAACCTCTGTAAGCTAAAAATTCATTGGCTACTTCCCATGTTGAGCCCTATCTGGCAGTCACTGTTCTAATTCATTCCCTTTCTTGTCAAATTGGATCAGATGATACCATAATGTAAGTAGCTAAGAAGCATTCAGGAGGAGGTAGAATGTACTGTCTTGATGCATGGACCCCTCTCCCCTCTGCACTGAAATTTCTAGTTATTATCTTACTGGCCAAAGGGTATAACTTTAGGAGACAAGTGGCCCTAAGTTAGTAAATCTTCATAAACATTATCAGTTGCACACTGAAACACACAACTATGTAACAGATAATGTCTATAGTGATTTCTTAAGATAGTTCACCCCTAAAATTTAAGCTTGTTTGTAGTAAACTGCTGACTAACTAGGCAAGAGGATTTGGGAGATTGTTTCTTATCCACATACTCCAATAATAATATCTAACACAATGGATTTTAGCAAGATACACATTTTTAGCCAGAAACTATAATTCTGTACAACTCACTGGCTGAAATTCAATATTGACACACAACAAGGGTAGGCCCATTGAATCAGAGGAGCTTACAAAAAAGTTGATTTACCAAAACTCCATTGATTCGATGGGCTTGCTCTAGTTGTGACCTGCTTCTGTGTTTCAACCAATACAACACTCCCTACTCAACGTTATACAAACTTAGTCTTGACTGCATTTTTACATATTGTACAAACTGAAGATATGTTGTATTTCAACTTGTTATACATGATTCATTACCATCAAAACAATAACATCAGCTACATTTTCTTTGTTCTGTGATGTAAAGTCCTAGAGAATTAAACTCAATAATTTGTCATTGTTCACCTTCTGTATTATCAAGCCAGCATAAAGAAGAAAGATTGGTATTCGGGATAAACTTTATTCTCCACAGATATAACTTCTCTAAGGTCCTTACAAGGGCTAAGCATTTCTTCTTCTTGTGAACCGATGCTGTTTCTTGGGAGCCAATTTCCTATTGAGAAACAACTTTACAAGGGCTAAGCACTTCTTCTAGTGAACAGATGATGTTTATTGGGAGCCAATTTCCTATTGAGAAACAACATGGGATGTACCAGTTGTTCCCTGTTGGCTTAACACTGCTCCCAAGCCTACACTAGAGATAGCCATTGTTAGTACGAATAGTCTGGTGAAAGAATGATAGGCTCAGACATCAGCAACTTTATCTGTTGTTAGAAGGTGCCCTGGCACTCCTGTTTCCAACCTACCAGATAGTATATTCTCAGTGTAATCATGTATCTTAATTCTCCTTCCATACAGGCTGCATTCTGTCTTCTTGCTATATGTAGAGATGAACTCAGTTTTGCATTTCTGCTGCATATGGAATATTTGGTCAAGGAGCTTTTTTCAGGTAGATTGGAAGATACTTATACTACAGTATTTAAAAACCTGTTTGTCCCTGCCTTTTCTTCATTCTTATTTTCAAAAAAGAAAATGTTAGCCTTGTCTATAGTTATGCGTAGTTCTAAATATTTTATCCCAGTCATTTGGAATCTCTTTTTCTTTCTGTCCTACCATATTTCTCTGCATGATACATTCTTGATAATAATTCCTCTGGGAATCATGGCAAAGTCCACTAGTGTCTAAAAAAAGAGTCTCTCCTAGTCACTTTTGACACAGCACCAATTAGCATATCAATATGTAGTAATTCGCTTTTCACTCTCCGCAGAAATATGTCCACAAAATATTCATCTGACACTTCAATTTGGATTTTATAAAATATAGTCCTATATGCTGAAGTTTGCTTTACTTTTAATATGCAAACATGA